CAATTATTAATGTTAAATAAAAGACAGACTTTAAGATAATGTATATCTTGCAGTAACAACAAAATCAAATCAAAAAGTGGGATCCTGGTCCCCCTGAGGACCCTAGGAATTGCTGGGGCGGAACTGAAATTCTCCGCTGTAGTTTCCTCCGGAGCCGCGTGGATGTCACGTACGGCCGGAAGCGGTCGCAAATTTGAACAGCCATCACAGCAACAATAAACGCGCACTTTCACTTTACGGTATGTCTGCTGAATCAATATTTTATGAAAAATTAAACTAAAATCATACAGAATATTTATGTAAGGTGAGTTACGCAGCCCGTTGACGGCATTGTTTTGTGCGCTTCACAGCGTTAGCTACTCTTTTCAGCACCGTCGATTTTGAAACAGGCTATTACCTGAAAAACAGTCTGCTCCACAGTCATAGCATCTGCTAAAGGCCCTTAAATGCAATTAAATGTATTGCCCTGTAGTTTTTGCTGGGAATGCACGGGGTCTGTGTGATTTTTTTCGTTAAGTTGCACAAGTTTTAATCTGTAAAAATTGCACCATTAAAGCACAAAATAACAGATTTTTGCATGCAGGGATATTAATTGTGCACGTCATTAATGGGACACTTCAACACCAGCAGACCACGGCTACACTTTCCCGCCGTTGCAAGGTTGTAACCCAGAAAATAGACGTAGCCGTGCAGACCCCATCTCTTAAATAAGACGCCGAGCATGGCATCTTATTTTCCCCGTCAGTCCACCTTAAAAGTGCTAAATCGCCTGCAGAGGGACTCGTTCAGTCATTTTAAATTGATGCACGAGTTAAGTGAATCTATTCAAATTCACTGTAGTGATTAATTTAGTTGGCTTTTTCGTTATTACAAATATAAAGCATTTTAAATCATTTTTCTGTATTTTTAAGCTATTTCCTTGAAATAGTTAATTCCTGTTAATCTTGTTGATTATTTTACACGTTTATAATGCTTCATTATTATAAACAGAGTTTTTATGGTCTAAGCTGGATTTTTCAGGGGTTGCAAATAGACAAGCCTTTTTAAAATTTAACATTTTAGTTAATCCTAGTTTATGCTACTTCCTGTGTTTTTGTTTGCTTGTTTGTTCGTTGATAATAAAACATTTATCACAGTCCTGGTGATTTTCCTTGCGTGGAAGCCCCAAACCTCTTTGGTGCACACTTTTTTTTCTTTTTCACTTTCTGTTTCTTCTTTATTTGTATCTTTGTCTTGTGGGCCGAATGTGTAAACCACTGCACTGTTTTTACTCTAAGCCCAGTAGAAGATATGGCAGGAGACGTTAGAGGCCACCTTTGTTCAGAATTTTTCTTGTTATCACAAGCTGGTTTAACTCACATTTCTTGATAGGCTGCTTATTTGTATTTCTATTAATTTGTTGGAGTTCTGAGGACTTCCAGCCTGTGGTCTTGTGGTGGTTGTTATTTAAGACTCAGACTAAAAGGAATGTCATTCTCTGCTCATATTATTTAAATCCATGTCCATCAACTATGCAGTCATATAGTTATTACATAATGTTACATATAATTAAGTAATTACATGGTTATATATTATTTGTGTTTTTGAGTTAGTACACGGTAAATGCGAGAGGACCCAAAATGGAGCCTTGGGGAACTCCAAGAAAGTTTTGTAGACTTAAACATGTCATTTCTGATCAGCATGTGTAGTAATACATTGTAAGGTTGGGTGATATGAAAATTTTTCCAACCGACATTCATCAGTCCAATAAATGCTTATAGGAGATATATTCACACAGGTGACTTTTTGATGGGCGGTGTAATCATGCACAGACGGATTTGCACATTTAGAACACAGAAGTGTAGGCATAACCATTAACATCTATTGTCAATTTAGCTTCACTAACTGACAAACAAACATGTCCTTGGACTGTGGGAGTAAGCTGGAGTACTTGGAGAGAACCCATGTAGGTACAGGGAGAACAGACAAACTCCACACAGAAAGGCCTCAGCTGCTTAAGTCACTCCACCACTGAGACATTTACTATGGATTTATCCCTCCAAAAAATTTATTAGAAAAATGAAAAGATTAAATAGTGGTAGGGGTTATCATCTTCCATACACAATCTGTGGTCTGTCTGGACTCCACGTAGGTACACGTAGTTATTATGTTATTACGTCCAGTTATGTAATGAATAATAATGAGTAAAATGTAAACAATATTAAATAAGAACTGTAATTTCTTTGTTAAATATGCAGGTGCACACCAACAGAAGTAGTCCACGCTGAAGCCGGCAGTATGGAAGAAGAAATTAAAGAACAAGGAGATCCTGTGAGCAATGAAAGGCAGGCCAGTGCAGGCAGTCCAGTGAAGAGGGGAAGAGGGAGGCCGCAAGGCTCCAAGAAGCTGAACGTTTCCAACAGCGAGTCCACACAACCACAGAGGGGAAGAGGGCGTCCGAAACTCCCTGGCACAAAACAGACAGAGCAGCGGGGCTCAGGAGACGACCATGCTGACAATTTGGTCCAAATTCACAGGGGTCGAGGCCGGCCCAGAGGGTCCAAGAGTCAGGCCAGCGATGAAGACAGGACAGAGCATTCTCCTAAGAAAAGAGGCAGGCCACGGAAGTCTGTAACAGATGAGGAGGCTCCTGCTGAGGACTTACCGAACGGTGGCTCAGATACGCCAAAAAGGGGACGCCCAAAAGAATCGGTAAAGCGCAAGTCAGAGAGTTTAACAAGTGGGGAAGATGATGAAGGCAGCTCTGTAACGCCCAGGAAAAGAGGTCGACCGAAGGGCTCGCTTAATAAGAAATCAAGGCTGGAGAGCGAGCTTGGCATTGTGGGGATCTTAGATCTAAATGAGAGCCTAAACTCGGAGAGAAGAGGACGACTCAGGAAAGTGGTGGTGAATAACACCTCGGCAGATATGTCAAATGGCATTTCAAATACGCCTCAGAGAGGAAGGGGAAGGCCAAGAAAAAGTATTGAACAAAATAAACTGGGCACAGATGGCTCCCAGCCTGTAAAGAGGGGGCGAGGCCGGCCTAAAGGGTCTTTAAACAAGAAACCTCCAGCATATAAGGTCCATGGTAGAGTGGGCCGGCCTCGGAAAGTACACATCCTGCCTGTGAGTGGAAGAAAACGTGGTCAACCGCGACAAAAGCCACCAAACAAAAGGGGGAGGCCGAGGAAGTACCCCTTGCCATCGCCTGAGGAGAAGAAAAAGCCAAAAGTGTGGAAGCCACTGGGAAGACCGAGGAAATACCCTCGTGTGGATCCCCCAGAGGGATCTCTGCCCCCCCCTCGCAGAGCCCGTGGTCGGCCTCGCAAGTCAGAATCTAAGAAAGGCGCTCATTTACGCAAGAGTCTGCCTGCCGCTCCATTCACACCGCAAAACCCCATCGATGAACCTGCGAGAAAAAGGGGCCGTCCTCCAAGTACTGCAAAAAGCCATGGCGACGTTCCGCGGAAAAGGGGTCGCCCTAAAGGTTCGGTCAACAAAAATAAATCGAGAAGCGAAACCTTCCCCAACCACTCGAAAGCGTTGAGCGGTTCGTCTGCGGTTAGGATGGAAAGTGAAGCGGAGCTGGCAGAGGAGGAGATGGAGCACAACACGGAGACGCCGGCCATCGAGCACGCAAGCGACGAGGAAGCAACTCTGATTGATCAGGATGTAAACTTCGATGTTAGCAGCCAGGCTTGATGAACGATCCTGGTGTGACCAAAAAGAAAAGTTGCTGTAGTAATTGCTGTTTAAAACATAGAATCCATTCATATCGACAAAAACATGTTTTTAACATTTTGCCATCAGCTAGGCTAGATATCCAGCAGCTCCTCTGTTTTTCTGACTAACGTGTCCATCTTGTTTTTATCGTGCTACTTTTTTTTTCTTCAATACCTTTATTTCCGTCATCCAAGTAAACAAAAGTACTAATAATCTTTTACTAAAGCCGACATGTGGAAGTGATTCTTATAGACCGATTGTTCCAGTTTACATTCAGCTTTCAGATGTAGTGTTATTTTGTTTTGTTGTTACTGTAAGAAGGACGCCTGGGGAATAACTTAGAGGCAGGATGAAAGTCCAAATAAATGTTAGGACGATGAAAGGGAGGAGAAGAAGAACTATAAACAGCTTTTGTACAACAATGCAGTCTCTCATTAAGCCTTTCATCCTAAAGAAAAGAAATGTTTTCAAGGGATATGCTTTCCATATTTATGCCATAAACTGACACAAAAATGCAGAGCTAAGCGTGCTCGCTCACACCTCCTACACTGATACTGCTCTGCTGTCCAAGTCCCACAAATGACTGACCAAGTGTGATTGTAAGACGGGCAGATTTCAGTTTGTTTCCCCAAATCTCATTTAACTGGATAAATGTATGCAGTAAGATCAATATAAATCTGATAACAGTGAGCTATTTGCCAAACATTTTAAACTTATTTATATACATATTTTTCCCCCTATTGTGTGCTTGAAGTTGCTGTGACGGATATTTTTGTAAAAAGCAGTTTGAAGATGTGAAAACAGAAATGTTTATTGGTGAAAAATCACCTGAATCTGCAGCCGTACTCGACTTATAAAGTCTTGCATTTAACCGATGTTGTTAACTTTGGCCCAGTCTCACTGCCTGCACCAACGTTAGCAACTAACTTAATGCAAAGATGGGTGACAAATTAAAGACGAGACCCACACAAAGGGTGATGGGACCAGTAGACTCAAAACCAGTAGGTCCTGGGTTTGATTCCATCATCTGGCTGGGTTTACATGTTCTCCCAGAGTACTCGTGTTTCTTCCCACAGTCCAAACTGAGTCTTTTGTCCACATACAAAAGGCGTGTCAGCTCCCTGAAAACAGGTTTTAAAAAACCTTCCGGGTAAATTTTCATGACTTCATGTGGAAAACATTTTTTTTCTTGCAAATTCAAAGGTGTTGCACCCTTATCACCTGTTTTTTTTATTATTATTATTTTTTGTGCTCCATGTTGTTATTTGCTCAGGCTGGTTATTAGCCAACATTTCCATACGTTTGTGGTTGTATTTACACCTGTGGGGATGTTGTTAGCAGATTATACAACAATCTTTTAAAGGGTCTGCACTTAATTTCTGCTCAAGGTCAGCGTGTCATTTCACGCTCATCTGTGAGCTACTGTGTCATGATGGTTTTAAACGATGCTCGTGTGGATGGGATTTTAAAAAGAACCCGGAAAATTCCTGGTTTAAAAAAGTATCCGAGTACCTCTGGACATAGCAATAGCGCACACCTGTGAAAACACTTGTTTCTGCACTTTATTTGGGTTTTTTTTCCTTTAATTTGTCACCCAGTCACTTGTAGCAGCTAACAGGTAAAAGAAAGCATGTCATGGGTTTATATTTGCAAGGTGGTTATAAATCCAGCTCAGAATGTGCTTGATGATTAAAAGTTATTTGATAATGAGTATTTTTTTTGTCCTTTTTTTTGGTCAAACCTATGAGCTGTAGCAGGTTTCAGCCACTCTGTCTTGTACTCTATATGAAATTATTCAAACAGAAAGGCTTAATAAAGCAGAAACTATTAGGTAAGATTGAATTATTAGCCATTTTTCTCATTGCAAAAAAAGCAAATGTTGATGTTGTTTTAAAGATTTCTTTATTTTCTTGTTATTTATTTTAAGTTTTATTAAACCAGGAAAACCTTACTGAAAAGTTCTCAAACATGGCCCTGTGTATCCGAGAGGAAAGTTTACAGCCTCTGGAGGTTACTAACGTTTGAAATGATGTCATGATTTGTCCTCTACGCAGGTCCACGGTCGACGGTAGCTTCATCTTTCTTTTGCCTTAATCGCTAAAGCTTTGAATGTACCATCCCGTGCATTCCTCCTCTACATGTACCATTTTAAGCCTTTTTTTACTTTCCTCTTGTTGCAGATATCATTTCACTAATTTTTCAAAAATGTTAGTGTAGCTGTGAAGCCTTTTGTTTGTTTGTTTAATCTTTGTAACTGTCATGAGATCAAAATCCAGCTGTTGGCTTGGTTTCACGAACACTGCCTGACTTATTTTGGACGACCTTGTATAAAGCTGTGTGACATGTACGCCGTTCATACTGATTCTGTTTGGGTCAAATAAGAATTTAAGTTTCTAAATGCTGGATTGTGCTTTTCGTGAACGAAGGAGGTTAAAAACAACAACAAAAAAGACACATCCCAGTAATATTTGACCTGCCTTTGTGAAGTCGAATCATTTCAAGTGGAAATTTGCATTTTGTGTGTGTGTGTGTGTTTTAAACAAGAAGCCAATAATTTGTGAGATTATGGTCGAGTTTAAAATAAAAATGTTGATCTTGCCGTTTTATTTCCCAAAGCGTGGTGTGATGTTTTGGTCTGTTTTCTGTCCATCAGCATTATTTTATTTATTTATTTATTTTGGGGCTTTTTATCGCCTTCAGACAGTTTACGTGACTAAAGGAAGATTCATCAGTTATCTGTTGACAGAATGCTGCTGTTCCACCCTCACCAGTCCTGTTTATGACTGCACTGGTGCACTATGCACCCGAGTCATGCCGGAGCAAAGGTGGTATGTGTAGTGACAGATGAGTCACTGCAAACTATGGAAGCAATACCAGCAGACATTAGAATATTCAGCTCGGCACAAAGCAATGGGTGCTACATTTAAAGGGACAGTTCACCCCAAAATAAAACTTGTTTATTGAGTTGCCCAATTCTGGTAATGTTGTGTTGCGTTGCTGAAAAATCAATTTTAATGTGACCTGGTTACTAAGAAAAAACATCAGCGAGCTTATTTTGATCTGTTGTAGCAATTAGTTTCCCCCTACCAAACTACACCTGCAAACTATATACACAGGATGTAAAAATTAATGGTCTTTCCCCTTGCTGAGCTCATTTGTTAGCCAGCTGTCAGCAGATGTAGACGGAAAGAAAATAGTTCCTGCGTGAAACTGACAACATCAAGGCTTTGAATGTTTTGGGGGAAGGAACGCTTCCTGGATGCAAATTGTTTTGCTTCATCTCTGAAAGGGAAGATCTCCATGGCGCTTTTGTTATTTTTGTGTTTGACCTTAAAAATCACAACTTTTAAACAAGTTGGGAAGCTGTGTAAATGTAAATACAAACAGAATGGTTTGGTAATCTCATAAACTCATATTTTGTTCACCAGAAAACATGAAATGTTTAAACTAAGAAAATTTGAGGTAGTTTTGAGGTAATCTCAAAAAATTGGCCCAGGGCTTCTTTTTTTTTTACCACTTGGTAGCATCCTCTCTTCTTTTAACTACAGTCTGTAAAAATCTGGGAACTGACTGATTGGTGTAGGAGTCTAGATGCTCGACTGTCCTGGGTCTTCTTTGTTGTATTTCTTGTTTCATGGTGTGTCAAATGTTTCCAGTTGGTGAAAGGTGAAAGGTCTGGACTGCAGGCGTCTACTATAAAGCTATGCTGTTAAAATAGATGCAGTATGAGGTTTATACAATCAGAAATGCAGCTTTTGAACTAAACACTGATAGCAAGGCAGATGGTCTCTCACCGCTTTAGTCCATTCATGTTTTCCGAAAAGGATCCAAAATTTCGACTCTCCCGACCACAGAACAGACCAGTTTGCCTCAGTCTAGTTTAAATGATCTTTGGCTCAGAGAAGACGACAGCGTTTCTGGATCATGTTCATATTTGGCTTCTTCTTTGCACAATAGAGCTATAACCTGCATTTGTAGATGGGGAGGTGAACTGAGTTCACAGACATGCCTGCTTTTTAATACAATACTGCCCGACGGCCTGAATATTATGGACATCCTAAGCTGATTTTCAGCCTTGTGCACACAGAGACTTTTTGTGCTATTATGTCTTTACAGTTTTACACTGGGGGACATTATTCTAACTTGTAGGTGCAGTTTAGTGCAGACTGGTGAACCTCTGCCCATCTATACTTCTGAGAAACTGCCTCTCTCAGATGCTCTGCGTATACCCGGTGTTATGTTAGTCTTACTTTTTTTAGCCTTTCGTTCCCCTGTCCAAACTTTTTTGAGATGTGCTGCTGGCATCAATTCAAAATAAAAAAAAAAAGTTTTCTATGTTCTATTGTGAATGTTAACAGAAAGCCCACAATATTTATCAAATTTAAATCAAAATTACAAAAGCAACACACGACAGGATCAATCACAAATAACAGGAATACCTCTCTAAAAAGAGGTTTGTTTCTTTTTAAAAAATAATAGTAAATAGTTAATTGTGTGTTTTGCTATTTTGCAAACACCTTTTTGTTCTCCCAGTGGAAAATCTTCCCACGGAAACTTTAGCTTATAACAGGGGTAGGCGACTCCAGGCCTCGAGTGCCGGTGTCCTGCAGGTTTTAAATGTGTCCTTGATCCAACACAGCTGATTCAAATTGCTAAATTACCTCCTCAACATGTCTTGAAGTTCTCCAGAGGACTGGTAACGAACTAATCATTTGATCCAGTTGTGTTGACCCAGGGTAAGAGCTAAAACCTGCAGGACACCGGCACTCGAGGCCTGGAGTCGCCTACCCCTGGCTTATAAAGTGATTGCACTGGAATTATGACCTCATTGTGTTTTGGGGTGTCTGGTTGAAGATGACTGCACAGGTGTGGAGAACCTCAGAAAACTGATAAATGGTGGTTCAAGAAGAGTCTGCCTCAGTACACCATCACTCACAATGATACTCCAGTTTCTACTAGTTATTTATTTATGATTGTATGAATGAGTGGATGAGTCCAAACCTTTGACTTTCATAAAAGTAATCCTTTGTCTGTCTTCTCTCCGTACACACAGGCAAACAGGTGACACGACAAAGGCGTGTTAACCAAAGGGAAGCTTTTTTGTTTATAAATTACAGACCCAGACAGACTCCAGGTGTAGGAGTCTGTCTGGGTCCAGGTTTTAAAAATTCCTACTTTAGGAGAATCACTGGTGGAATTTTCCACTCTCACCCGAGGTGGGAGATTCCTGTTGGTGAAAGGACAACCAAAAGAGCCATTGTTTAAGCTGAAAGGTGCTTGAGTCCTTGGAATTCTTTGATCGTACAACAAGGATTTTTGGATTAAGCAGGAAGCTATCCATATATATAGTTGTGTAGATCCATTAAATTCAAGAAAAGGCATATTTCCACAGTCGATATCTCAAAAAATGGACCATCTGAAGGTAAAAAAAAAAAAAGAACTACAGGTGAAAAATATGTGAGCATTATTTATACCTTTTTTATTGCCATTTTAAGAATAAAATCTTAGCTTAGAGGACAGATTTATTTGTGACATACAGCCTTTTTAACAGAAAGTACAGGGTTTAAAAATAATTGTTTTTCGTTTCCATCTGTGTGCCATTGCAACATCAGTTTATACACACACACACACACACACACACAGAGAAATGCTGTTAAGATAGCAGTGGAGTCTGTTAATATGAGGAGCAAAGGGATGACCGTGCATTTGGAGACAGTAATAATGAACAGGTGGGGCTATTATGAAAAAAACAGCTGTGATTTTAAAACTAGAAAATGCAAAACAACCTGATGACTTCATGGCTGTGGGATGAGGTAATTCACTGCAAGACTCACAAATAGAAACCAGGCTGTAGTTCACAAAAACACCCAAACAGAGGATTTTTGGGACAATCTTCCATGGTGTAAAATAAAGTAAAGGTTGATTACCCAAAGGAACCACACATCTGTTTTTTATGGCTCTGTTTTGTATGGCTGGTAATGAAACTGGCACGTTGTCGTTCATTGATAATTTCAACTATCTACAACTTTATTGAGATATGCACCATGAACACGATGAGGATGAGAAAGGGGGAAAAATGACTGAATTAAGGGTGTGTAGCAGGACAGGGAGGGTACTTTTTTGTTTCTGAGCAAATATCTCCATACTATCAGCTGGAAGCAACATCAGACTGCAGCACATGAAAAATTGACTCAGTGAGTATTATGCAGTCATAATTATTATGCATAATAATGCATAATTATTCAGTTCAATTATGCATATATTATGCATAATTGAAGGTGCTGGAACAGTGAGGTGCTGATGAGAGCGAGAGTAGAAAGCAGAGGAGAGCTAGTGAATAAGGAAGTGCAGCAGATTACTATGGAGAAGGAGAGGGCAGCTATGAAGAGGAAGGAGAGTGAACAGCGCTCGGTTGAGATGACATACCTGTGGAGATATCTAGGACAGAGGGCAGTGGACTTTTTAACTAGTCTGTTTAATAGTCTTGGAGAGTGAGAGGATGCATGCGGAAAGAAAACCCATGCCATGAAGAGATGAGAAAGAGTTAAGAAAAGTGGTGATGATCAATGAGGAGCAGTATGACTTAATGCTGAGAAAGAGCGTTGAGTGTGTTGGTATTTGAGGAATGTGGAGAAAGCATATAATAGGATACCAAGACAAGAACTGTGGTACTGCATGAGGAAGGTGGGAGAGAGCCCGGAGCGATGGAGGTATGAAGTTAGTAGAAGCAAGATAGAATGTGTGTGTGCATGAAAAAGCGACAGATGGAAAGCTGAAGCTGCGAGGAGCAGAAGTAGTGAAGGTGGATCAGTTTAAATATCTGGGTTTAATGCAATGCAATGGACAGCTTGCAAGAGAGGTGAAGGGCCGAGTGCTAGGGTGGAGTGCGTGGAGACGAGTGTCAGTGGTGATTTGTGACAGAAGGATAGTTACAACAATGAAGGTGAAAGTTTCTAGGATGGTAGTGAGACCTGCTATGATGTATGGCACGGAGAGGAGGCTCCTGGCCTTCTGTTTCTGTACAGGCCACGCCTCTGTATTCAGGTGAATAAATTAGCCTGTGAAGGGAAATACGTTTGTTATGAAAAAGGAAAAATTTTGTTGTAAATTTGAGGCTGTAAACATGCTTTTTATGCTGTAAAATTGGGCATGTTAACATTTAGAGATTGAGCCATTCTGAAGACAGCTCCTCAAGTGTTCACTAGATGAACTGCAGCTTTTCAGTTCTGGAATAAAGGTTGATTAGCTGCACACGTGACTTTTTAGTAAAGACCGTAAAGATTAATAATAAAGATAAATACTCTAACTTTGGTCAGAACCCCGATACAATAACGCTTTGAGAGAGGGCGGGGATGTTGACGTTTCTCGAGCGGAGTGATACTTCTGCACTGTTTCCGTTTCCCTGTTTAAACAGTGGAAGAACACCTGGTCTCACCTGTCTGGAACTTTGTTTCCGCTTGCGGGAAACGGCGAAACTGGCGACTTTTAAACGAAGTTACGGATTGTTTCAGTGATGTGACCGGATTTAAAAACAGGTAAATCGACCGTTAACTTTTTTAAAAGATATATTTTAAAACCCAGTGCGGCGAAGAATCAACGGGCTGAGTCGTACTAAATATAGAGTTGCTAAACAAGTTCTGGCTGAAGCTACTTTTTCTTTCACGGGCGTCTAAAGTTACCCTACAATGCATTTAAAGGCCCAGAAACGTCTCTGTGACACCTTAAGCCTTCACAGCAAACTCTATACAATAAATTTGATCAACAGTGATCTGTTTTTTAAAATGAAATACCGATAATGTGGACCGGTCGTCCAGAAGCAGAAGTATTTCCTGAGAAATCGCAGCGGCTGCCTCACATATTTTAATGCGTGTATAGCTTTGAGTACTCCTATCTCACTTTCTTAAATGTTTAAGAAAAAAAACATTTGATAACACATTAGATTTTTATAACGACTTTGCACGATATTTTCAATCCTGAACAGCTCAAATCAGATTAATGGACGGTGCAGCTGATTCTTGTTTGAGGCCTCAAAGTGGTGAAATGGCATCAGAACTGCTTTAGTTCTCAATGTCATAGATTCAAAGAGTTGCTGGAAACGTTCTTCGGAGATGTTGCTTCATATTGATATGATTGCATTACACAATTGCTGCAGATTTGTGAGCTGCGCATCCATGATGGGTCTCTCCTGTTCCACCACATGTCAGAGGTGCTCTGTTAGGTTGAGATCTAGTAACTGTGAGTGCAGTGAATTCATTATTATGTTCAAGAAACCAGTTTGAGATTATTTCAGCTTTGTGACATAGCACGTTATCCTACTAGAAGCAACTATCAGCAGATGGGTACACGGGTCTCAAAGAGAGATGGTTAGCAACAGTACTAAGGGGTCCAAAATATACCACAAGAATGTCCCCTAAATTGTTACATCACAAGCAGCCTGAAATGCTGATACAAGGCAGGATGGAGCCATGCTTTCACATTTCTGCCAAATTCTGATCATACAATCAGAATGTTGCAGTAGAAATTGAGACTCAAAATAAAATGTTATTTGTATAGGACATTTTGAGAAAAATCTCAAGCAACTATAAAATGAATCAAATACAAGTTTAAAAAGATGCATTTTTAGCTGCTTGTTAAAAGGGATCAAATCCATTGATCAGAGGCTCGGAAGGATGTAATTGCAGATCTGGGGGCCACTGTTATAAAAGCTCTCTCCTTTAAGTTCTCAACCTTGTGTGATGCAGGCCCTTATTGACCTCCAGGACCTTGCTGGGAATGCAAGGATGTAAAAGTTGACTGATGTAACCTGAAGTTTGTCTGTGCAGAGCTCTAAAAGTCGAAGCCAGATCCTTAAAGTAGACTCTGAAGATAATGAGGAGTCAAGGCAAATGAATTAACAATGTTGTGAAGTGGGAGTACTCAGGAGATTTAGAAGATAACCTATAGAAGTTTCAAGGAAGCTTTCTTAAAACAAGTGAACAATGAATTGCAGTTATCCAAATGTGATGAAATAAAGGCGTGAATAACGATTTTCCCTTCAGAGTGTGACACAATGAAACTGAACTTGGTAATATTTCTCAAGTAGAATCCAAGAGTGAACCAGAGATTTAACGTAAGCATTCAAAGTAAAGGCTGAGTCAGAAGTTACACCTGAGAGAAGATTTAGCTAACGTGGCAGAGGATCTAAATTTCCATAACCTTAGAGACAAATCTTTTCAAAGCACAAAAAAAGCTTCTGTTTTTGCTTCATTAAGTTGAAGAAAATTGTCAAACATCAAACTTTTAATATTTTCTAAATCCAAGAGTAACTATACAACTTAGAAAAATCTTGGGGCTTAAAGGAGACACACAAATGAACGTCATCTGCATAGAATGATCCAAAAAAGTACTTAATATTGCTCAAAATGTGCTGAAGAGGGACGGAAACAGCCTTCTGGTACACCGTAGGCAGGAGAAGTGGAATAGGACCCAGACTTGGAAGCAGCCATGGGAAAGGACCATTCAGGCAGATGTGATGAGTCATTTCAAACCAGGCCACGATACACCCACCTAGTATCTCAGTTAACTGAGCAAAAAGGTAGACATCAGCAGAACAGATTAATCTCCTGCATGATTTTGCATCAAGATATCATTGGAGGTGCCGAGAAGGCCTGATCATTAATGCTGTATTTGTCCAAAACGGCAAACTGGAGTGAAAATGGAGATATTACTTCTGTGTGGTTTCTCTCATATTTTAGGCCTGCTTATGGAAAAAAAATGACTGAGTGTACATCAGAGGTTAGTGAGGGTTGTCTCTGCCTATGCAGCTACCCTTGGAAAAACCCGGAATATATTCTAATGCCCATCAAACCATATCTTTATTGATATGCAGTGAGGTGTCAAAACTTGTCATTAAGGGAGCAGGAGATGCCGTCAGATGTTGTCTTTATGGGGGAAAGCGTTCCAAGAGTTCCAATAAAACAGCTAAATTGAGAGTAAAAAAACCCCAAACTTAATTAAGCGCTCAACTTTTCAACAAGAAATACAGTAATTATCAAAAAGATTCACAATGAGCTCAACATCTTTATAAAGGAATAAAAATAAATTAAACCAGCAGAAAACTTATCATAAAAAAACACTTTGTGGTTAGCATCTGAATCTTCTTCACAGAGGGGTGAGTGAAAAGAGACATTAAAAATACTACAGTCCATCCATCTTCTTCAGCTTATCTGGGGCCAGGTGGCAGGGGCAGCACCTCCCTCTCCCCTGCCACCTCCTCCCGCTTGTCCGGCGGAACACCAAGACATTCCCAGGGCGGCCAAGGGATGTTATCTCTCCAGCGTGTCCTGGGTCTGCCCTGGGGGGCCTCCTCCAGGTGGGGAGGATACTACAGTGATGGTATTCCTGTGGCCTGACGTTAGTGAGCCTGAGTTTCCTGTTCTTAGCTGATAGCAGTGGAACCTGGTGTGGTCTTCTGCTGCTGTAGCCCATCTGCTTCAAGTGTTGTGCTGTGTATTCAGAGATCCTCTTCTGCATGTCTTGGTTGTAACAAGTGGTTGTTTGAGTTACTGTTACCTTCCTATCAGCCCAAAGCAGTACGGTAGTTGCTGGTGAAGTTGCTGCCATGTGATTAGCTGATTAAATATTTGCATTAAAGATCAATTCAACAGGCGTACCTAACAAAGTGGCCTTTGAGTGTACATCGTGATCTCCTAATAATTTTCCCGTTCACCCTCTGGATTAGTCGTTTATTGCATTTGCGACTCAGACACGTAGTGATTCATGTATTAATCCTGTCACATAAATCAGAGCTGCAGTAACATGTTGTATGCACAGTGCTGGTATGTGTGACGACAGAGTGAGCCATATCTGGTAACACGCCCACGATAAACTGTGAACTTTGATGTTTTTATGAAGCTCAAGTTGAAGCAGGCTGCTGCTTCAAGCATCGTTATAATGTTTTGTTCCCTCTCTCACAGAGAAATGCGAACAAAGAGGACTTTTAGGAGCTGGTAACAACAGATTCTCAGCAGTGCAGCTGGTATTGACTGGAAGTAAAGAAACACTAAGAATGGCTGACCTAATCAACAACACAAGTGAGGAGCTGGCATTTTCACCTGCTGGGTCAAGTGCAGAGCCACAAACACCAGTAAGTAAAAAGCCACAAGAACACAGCGGTTTGGAGGACAAAAGAAAGCTTACAGATGAGGAGGAAGAAGAAGAAGAAGATGATGATGCGACCAGCTCTGCTTTTCTGGAGCCAAGCACTTTACCGTGGTCGGCAGACAGAAACAGCAGAGCCCTTACAGAGCAGGATGATGGAATCTCGTCAGAAAAAGGAGGATCAGAGCTTGACGAGAGGGACACGGGAATCAGCAGAGGGAGCCAGGACCTGTCAGAGGAGCAGAGCCAGGAAGAGAGTGATGTGAAGAGCAAGACCAAATGGAGGGAGAGCATGCCCGAGGGGGAGAGGTGGAGGGACGATGAGATTAAGGTGAAGCAGGGTGATAAAGAGGACGGCTCCCTCGCAGATGATGAGGATGAGGAAGAGGAAGACGAAGGGGGATTAACATGGGTCTCGGAAAAATCATCTCCAGGTTTCACGCCACAAGTCACGATTTTGAATCACTCCACGAAAGAGGTTCCCGAGGTGAGCAGGCCACTCGGAGAGAAGGAGGTGGAGCCGGAGATGGAGCACAAATCCGTTGTAGAGCTTTACCCGGAGTGGACAACCAATGACGACAAGTACTGTGAGTATCCCGACCAACCCAGACTCTGCTACACCCAGCCCAGTTTTTTATTAGCATTAATAAGCACCTACTCCTTGCACCGCTGAAATCTTAGTGCTTAGTGCTCTTATTCTGAAAAGTTGTTTCATTTTTGTTTTCAAAGTATTTAAAACTCCATCACAGTCATGAGGTGAGCAGCCAAAGTTGGCACACAGGCACATCTTAGGCGCCTTGATATCATTGATATCAGGTATTACGATGTCATCGCATTCCTTAACAACCTACTAACTGGCTGAAACGGCCTATTTGTGGCTTTTACGCACCTAGCACACCTTACAAAATGCACAGTATTTTAATTTCACACCAATAAAATCTTGAATTGTGCTTTATAGTACTATTTTTAGTACTCTTGAATCTGTCTTTATATGGTTACCTGAGACTCGAGGCTCTACTTGATAGCACAGAAGCTCCACCTCCTCTATTCGTGAGGGGCTGCCAATCAGAAGAGGAGCTTGTTTCACACAGTGGGTGAACTGAGGAGCTGCATCAAGACTAAGTATGAGAGAAATCAGGAAGTGTGAATTATGTAAAGTTACTCTATTAAAGTCAAAGAATAAAAATATGGAGTAGTAATTGAGGATAATAGGTCCGCTTTAATTTGATGATCTAATCACATGTTGGTTCTGTTCCAAGTAGGTTAGCGTGTTTTCTGGAGCACATTTTTCCCCAGTGAGAAAGTCATTGGTGACCCGGCCTAGATCTCCCTTTTTTTGGTGCTTAACTGGAATTAATGACACGTAATTAATGTCTTTAGGTAAATCATGCTGTGGCTTCAGGATATGTTGTGTCATCTTTTTTGGCACAGAGATTAGATTAGATTAGATTAGATTAGATTAGATTAGATTCTCCTTCCTGCAGAGTTACTTTGGCTAATCATAAACCGTAACTGTGTTCTTCCTCCTCAGACCTGTGTGAGCATATCTGCAAGGAGAAACTGAGGGTGGTTTTGGCGATGGTGGCTGCAGCAATACTCTTCCCTTTCCTGGTGTGGGGTGGTTACGCCCTAATACCTTTTGATTCGCCAAAGCTTGAAAGCGCCCCCCTCAGGGTGGTGTACACACTGCGCTGCGCCTTTTTTGCCAGCGTGCCCATCCTGCTCGGTGAGACTTTAGTGTTTTCCTGTGTTTAAATTGTAATGCACCAAAGCAAATCTGTCATGCAAATAAGAAAATGGAGAACAAGAAAATGAGGTGACGATGATCTTTCTCTGCAGGCGTGGTGGTGCAGGGCCTCGCCCGGCTGCGTTACAGCGCGGTCAAGCCCCTCGTTCAGAGTAACCTGTTGAACATACAAGTGGCCGTGCACTGGCACTACGTCAATGAATCGCTCGGCCTCTTCCTCTTCTACTTCCTGCAGCTTGCTGTCATGGCAACCTACATCAGCCAGGACCTCATCAAACTGGTGCCGCTGCTCACCATCGTATTTGTTTTTGGCAGGTACGTGTTTGTGTGCGTGTTGTCAGCAACTGGTAGTTCAGTGATGAAAATATTATGATGGTTAGTTTATACCTACTGAATGACACCCTCATAAGACTTTTCAGACTATCTAAACATGGAGCACAGTTATGATTAAGTAAAGGAGGGTTCTGTGTCAAGCCTGCATTGGTGCTCTCTGAGTACTCAAGCGCCAGAGATATTAATTTTAAGATAAGATATTATATAATATCATTTATATATTATATAATATAATTTTAAGATATTATTATTGAGATATTAACAGTGTGATTGTGATATTGGCCAGCGGTGTGAATGTGAGAGTTTTTACTTGCATCTGTCTAGGATGTACCCTGCTTCTTGCTCACTGTCAGCTGGTATAGGCTCATCTTCCCTTAGCCCGAATTAGATAAATGGTAAAGAAAATGCTGATATAGATGGAATTTTATGGATGGAATAATTTTCCAACTTCCTAACAGACCGTGCAGAAGCTCAAAGAATCCCAAATAAATACAGAGGGAGATGCTTTAAGAGCTTGAAAAGATTAGACTTTCCAAATAAAATCTCATGTATTTCTTTGTTTCTGGTCTATACGTGCATGGCTGTACCAGTGCTGCTGCAGAGGTATAGTTGAGATAAATTATACGTTTGTGGTGATGTCACTGTTTGCGTGCAACATGGTCAATCCTATGTGAGCTCATCAGAAGCTCGAATGTCCTCAGCAACACTAATATTAGGAGGGACTAGGACTTCTGGTATAATAAGCTGACATGATGTCACACCTCTTCCCTGCTTCTATAGCAAGGAGGCTGTCTCAGTCACAAAAGGAAATTAAGGAAATTAGTGCAAGTTTTGCATGTCCTCAGTACTAGTATAGGTGGTCACATCATTGTGCTTGACACAACCAGTGTGTCGATCATAATAGACTCGTATGATTGGAGTTTAACCTTTCATTGCATTAACTTTTGATAATTGGTGCCAAGTAAGGGGATCATCAGCAGTTTTTGAAGGATTGTTTAAAAAAAACAAAAACTAAACTAAAAGTTTGTCCAGATGTCCGCACGTCATAATGACCAAGCCTATTACAGTTCATGTTAAGGGGGAGGGTTGATGACAACACTGTTGCAGTTACTTGTGCGTCAGTACAATTTATCCTCCATTAGCTATGATTGTCCCTTTAAAATGATCTGAATCCATCAAAGTTTTGTCTGTGATAAAGTTTTAAACCTGTTCGACTGTCACAGTCGTCTCTGTGAAAGGTGCTGAGCAGACAAAAGTCCGACTAAAGCTGCAAAGTCAGCGTGCTCAGACTCCATCATTACTACGACTTCACTAGACTGACTAGGTCAAATTTCTGTGAGACTGAAAGCGAGGCTGTAGTGAGTGTTTTTTAAAAAGCTTTTAATGTGATTACTCCTCTTTAATTGGTTTTTATTTGGTTTCACATTAGCTCCACAAATATGAGGTAAAGACTGTGAAACCATTACTTTCAAATTGTACTGTGCAAGAACAGATAATCATCTTCACTTGTAAAAAAACAAACTTTGTTTTTGTGCCCCCGTTAAATGAATAAATGAGGAGAAGCTGAAGAACATAAAGTTCCTTTTCAAACTTTAAAGAAT